TATTTACTCCGCTTAACATAGGTTGTCGTATATTGCTATGAAGTTCAAAATCGGATAAGATATCTTTCCGTAGATGGTGAACTTTATACGGCTTTTTCAGGTAGAAATTCAACACTGAAGATGTTGATGTTGACGGTTGTGATGGGAATGTTTCGATCTTTCTTCATTATCACAGCCATGTTCTTGCTTGTGCTCTTCTACGCGTACACTGGTGTTATTTTGTTTGGAATGGTGAAATATGGGCAAGCTGTCAGCAAGTTCGTCTAACCTTTTCGTATGACTTTTGGCAGCATTGGTAATGCAAAGAGGTGCACAAAGAGGCAGAAGCCGCACTCGGAATCTGTTACTTTTGAATATCCTACACTGACATCATCGTGGCGGAGCTAATGCTGACTCCGCCCCGCTGGAGCTTTGCCAGGTTGTTTATTGAGATTTCAATTCTCAGGCGGTTGTAGTGGCTCAGTTCACTGTGCTTGCGTCGGCGTAATCACCATGATTCTTCCATGATGTAGGGCGGAAGGTGATAACTCGAAAAAGGCTGGTGTAGAATTATGTACGTCGTTTCGCTCAATTATTTCGGTGCTTTTTGCCCAAACATAATCGGGAGAGGATCTCTGCTTGTGGCCCAAAAAGAAACTCTGGAAAGGAAGTTGAATTATCAAGGACATGCGAACGTGATTCGGTTTGGATGGCCTTCCGCGTGCTTCCCATCTTCCCTATGGTGCTGAAAAAAAAGACTTGAGAAATGCGTATATAAGAACAATGACCATACAAACGATTATGAACTGCAGATTTTTTCCGTTTCAAAATAAAACAAATAGAAATGAAATCAATACAGACAACATGCAAAGCGCCAGCGTAGCATAGTCAGCAGGTGCTACCGCCAAGATGTAACTGTAGGGTTTTCAGAAGTGACAGATTCCGAGTTATATTGATTTCTCAGAGAGGCTAAGTTAAGCTTAAAGTTAAGAATGATTATGAGAACATGATGTTTGTCGAATTATGATCCACGAACAAAGTGTAAAAGTGAAATTGTAGCCCCCACTAATTTTACATTTACACAGACATTTTCTTGCCGCTTTTTGTTTTTTATTTCTTGCCCATCAACAATCATTTGAAAATTATAGTCACACGTCTTTTGGTATTTGATTGTTTGTGAATAGCGTCACTGCAAGTGACTGAATACCACGAGTTCGTTTTCAAAGTGCCGAAAAAAACCTTACAAAAAGATCGCTGGTGGTGAAATTCCTTACTAATGCATCTAGAAGGGAGTGAATAAGAGAGAACTGCATGAACGAACTGAGATTCACTCATATTTTCAGTTTTCGGTGTAGTACTAGTAAGGATGAGGTGATCACAGAAGATCAATCATGAAAACCATGGAAATTCATTCAAGAGACACCGTACATTGTATGACAATATTGCTCAATGTCTGAAAGCTAAGTTGATGCTGGCATAGCAATTATCTCGGTGCAGAATCTTAGTCCTGCTGACTTTGAGTGCCAGATTCTCTTCCCTAAAAATGTAGAATAAAATTGCTGATAACAATAATATTGCAATTCAGTGTACCCCTTTAAACACAAATTGAGTGTCTTTTAACCAGTCGCTAGCGCAGATCGCTTTGTACGAGGGTCGAGATGGTGGAAATGGATGAAGAATTTCATATATCAAGGTCTTCACTTGTACAGAAAGCTGGATTTTTGGAAACCTTAAATGGCTATGATCAAGTTGAAAAAGACTAGAGTAATTTCTACACATTTACCTTATTTTATGACCTAGTTGCCTTTCCACCATTTTCTGTGGATTTCTGTCGTCGTACGGCATCACTCCCGTTACCATAACGTAAAGAACAACTCCTGCGCTCCATATGTCTACCTGAACGCTCTACGTTAATGAGCCTTTCAAATAATCAGCAAGTGGCTAATAGCACCTTTTATTACCAATTGGGTTCATTTCATAGAAACCTATCTAGTTCGGTATCAAATTAACCTAACGTAAACCTACTGTTTGTCCACTGTAAGCAATTGCCCTGAGGATCTCTGGAGCCACATAAGCTCTGCTCCCACAGAATGTGTTTGCCTTCTCGTTCGGTC